AATAAATTGGTGCATAAATCAGATTAAGAGCAGCATGTTGCCAACTTTTGCATTTGCACACAGGAATTCAATATGGATATGGAGAAATTCCCATTTTTTAAGTCTCTAATAGGGTACAGGGAATCTCTCAGGTAGATGTTGCATACAGGGACGTTTTATTCACTTATCTCCCCCACTTCTCACCCTAATAACAACAGAAGCAGTGCCGTGGGTAGTAAGAGCAGCAGTGCGGGAGTTTTGTGATGCCAGCTATATATGGAGGGTAGTGACACAGTATTTAAGACAATGCCCCAACCCTGTCTATAGCTCCTAATTATGGCAAGAAATTGGTGTGGCAATCGATAGTGATTTATGGTAGGGATAAGCAAGTGCACATTGCTCACATTGATCTGCATGTAAATTCCTTGACATAATAAGAAGTTATTACCAATGACAGTCGCTGTCTGACTGCTAATTCATCGGCACATCTTTCCATCAGTGAGAGCCACAGTGTCTGCACACTGGGGGCGAGTTGGCCCCACAGTTCGCCCATTGTAAGCCAGGTCCGTACATCTGGTACCCAACCAGTGGCTATTGAGTAGATGACAGTCGAGGTCACACTGACCGTTTCTCTGTCAAATAGCAGTTCCGTGATTAACCAGTAAGATAGGGGGTGTGTCTTGCTATTTTTAAAGCAAGAAATATCCTACAGGGGTTTGACTCTGTGTTAAAAAGTCATAAATAATTTCCATAAATATTTTATCTATTAAATTTATTTTCATTATACCATTTTCCCAAAAGGCCGAGATAGCGAATGATTTATCAATTGACTAAAATATAATTGCTTTTATTTTTACCCTTTTTTCTCTTATGGTTTTTGAAAGTTATACACATTTTAACCATCTAGCTTTTTTCACTTCTCAAATCTCATATGCATTTATATAGTTCTGCATTTCCACTGCCTCAGAGATTTTCTTTAAACAATTTAATCTGGAAGCTTGTATCTCTTCGTTCTTTTCTTTCCCCTTTCCCTTCTAACAAGGTCCTCACAAACTCATCCTTTATAGCTGTACCCTCTCCTCTTCTCTTCAGTAGTTCTTGTTAACTGACCTGGAGCCTTTTGTAATTCACATTCAGAGCCAAAGTAGAAGGTGGCCTGTCTCCTTTTCATCTGATTTTGGTGGGCAAACTGTCTCTACCTTAATCTGCAGTATTACATTATCTATAGCCATATTTTGTTTTTTAAAACATTTTGCCATGTCTTTCTATGGCCTGGCTATTTCTTTTTCCCTTATGAGTCTGCCATATCAGAGAGTTACTCATTGAACTAAAGTGTGATTTCTGTGTTCTTACGTTTTTTATTCTTATTGGAGATGGTTGTTGTTCTTTGCAGGAGACGCCTTGAGAAGTTGGAGTAATAGACATATACCCAGAAAAGTGAGTCATTAACTCCAGGGGTATGGTACCTGCTTTACCTGGAGAAATACAAATAGTTATAAAAACATGAGATTGTTTATTACAGGTAGTAAGTAGTGTGCAATTAAGTAAGAATAACAATAATTTTAATTTCAGACTGCCTGTTATGTTAATCAGGTCTGGCTAAGTTATGGTGCTGTAACAAGTAGCTCTAGAATTTATCAGGTATAAAACAATGCAGATGTATTTCTCACTATGATTCTTGTACATTGTGGGTTGACAGAGGGGCTCTGACCATTTTAGTCATGCAGGGACTCAATCTTGCAGAGCATTGACATTTTCAACACCGCTGGACACTGAGCCAAAGAGAGAGAGAGAGCTCTGAAGGGTCTTACATTGTTGTTAAGAAGATATACGGCAGCTCATTGTCACAAGGGCCCCATTTTTATCTTGTGACCCAAAGTAGGTAGACCTAGACAAATTTAGTAAACAATTTTAAAGGTATCGATTGGATATACACAATAGGTACTTATTAAAAACCTTTGAATATAAGAAAAGTGTGATTAGCCTCAATGGCACACAGCTTGGTGATGACTGAAGAGGTCTAGAAAAATTGAGTAAAAAATTTCTGGGAAAAAATGAGGTAGTTCAACTCTCTCACTTTTACTGAGGAGGAAAAGAGGTCTAGAGAGGGCAAATAACTTTCCCAAGATTATAGCCCTGGAAAGGAGCAAAATAGGGATGGAAACCCAGGTCTTTTTGCCTGGAATCCAACGTGCTTTCTTCTATCTCTCTCACCTGTAATCTTGGGAGCTTCAAGTGTTTGTGCAGACTGCTGTGAATCCTGTATGTGTTGGTCATGAAAGTCCTGATTTCCTCTCTGTTGACATCAGTCCTTCATTTGACAGTTTTTGCTTTGTTCAGGTGCAGCGGGCGCGCCTAGCTTCTTGGTTTACTCCTTCCAGCCTCCTTGACCACCATTGTATCGTTTTCCTGCAGATGGCATTTGATTAAGAATACAGTTTTACTTGATTTTTATTTGAAGTACCAGAATTTGAATGCGTGTTTCAAATTCCACAAACATGATGCAGAGTGTTTAGGGCGATGTTGAGACAATGATGGGATGTCTAGCAGAGTCAGTATAAGGAGGTGGGATCTGAAGGAACTCCACAGAGTGAAATGTTTATTGATGTATTTGTTCATAATATATACTCCTTCCCTACTTTTGAGAAGGTGAGGGAAATATGATTAGGTTTGGACGATGGTATGTTGTTCTATTTTGTTGTGACTCAGCAGAGTCAAAAGACAAAGTTCTGGTTGACAGGTCTGTCTACTGGTTCATTTTCTTAAACAAATTCAAGTTTTTATTTCAGACACCGAGGGCAAGGGCATTGACTCAGATTTTTAGACAGGGGCAGAAAACCTTATAATCTACTTGTTAACAGATAAGGGATTATACTTTTCAAATGATCTTCATAGTAGACCCAGATTGGACCTTCTTGTTCGAAGAGTATTAATTGTTTTCCTGTGGTTAGAATTGTGGGCATGAGCACTTAGCAGCAGGTGTATGTTAGAACTCACAGCCCGGAATTGTGGCATTGGGTTTGTAAGTGGCTAAACCATGTGAGAGGTATGGCAAAGGGTAGTGTGCCTGCAGGGCCTCAGAAAGGTGCTTTCGTGCTTGCGTGGAAGACCTGTCAGCTTTATGACTTTTGTGTGACCCTCATAATCTATTCAAAATTAAAAACAAAAGCTCAATAAAAGCTCACTGGCTACCGATTATATTCCAGGTACATGTGCAACCCCCATTCTCTCTGTATGTTATGTGTATGTGTGTGTATACACATATGTGTATGTATTTCTCATGCTCCATAGAAAGCCTTACCAAATAGGTATTGTTACATGACTAATGTCTGACTTCTTACTTGTGCTTATTATGTGTTCCTTGTTGTCTTAAGTGCTTTACATGAATTAATTCATTTCATCTCTACCACTACCCTCTGGAATACTCTTACTGTCCGCATTTTGAAAATGAGAAAACCGGAGTGGAAAGTCTAATGTTCCTGAGGTCCCATGGCTGGGATGTGATGGAACCATGGTCAAACCCAGGCAGCCTGGACTCAACTGGAGTTTGAACCACTCTGCTGATCCTCCCTCCTCACCTTTCCCATCGGTGAGGGGAGGACTTAGAGAGCAGTGGAGTGAGATTCAGTTATGAAATCAGAAGATTGAATTCAAATGCTGGCTCTGACACCTGCTCTCTGTGCTGTTGGGGCAACTCCCTTAGCCTCTCTCAGCTTCATTTCCCCTGTCGGTGTAAGGCACTCACTCACCCTTAACCCAGAAGCAATGGTCCTTAGAGTGAGGAGCTTGAGCCCAGCGAATATATCACGAGAACCACTGGCATGCTGGATGATGGTGTTAGAATTCTTTCCAATTTTTATAATCTAACACTGGGAAAAGAATAAACTAGATCAGTATTTAATATTTGGACTGCACTGGTGCCCTCTCTTGGTACAGGTGTCTACCGCATTAGCATGTGCCACGCACGGTGGGGGGGCCCCATCTCGGAGCAGGTCATGGTGCCACCTTACCTTCTTTTTTGGCTTCAGCATTTTGCAAGTTTAATTAGTCTCTGGCTACAAGGTGTCAGTGATGGGGTTAACTTTATTTAAAAAAAACTCTCAAATCTCAGAATTTATGTTATACTTTGTTATACTTTATGTTATACTTAATTATGAGTTGGGGATTGAATAAAAAATCTTTGGTTCCAACAGAGATTACTTGATTATGTCCCAATAAAGAACTCGAGAAGTATTTGTTTTTTAAAAATTATAATTATGTGCTCCCCATTTTTCTTTTACAAAAATTCAAGCTTGCCTAATTGCTTTCACTCCTAATGCCTGCCAGGTGAGAACATGCTTTTTGAAAGGGACTTATACTATGGAGAGAGCATTTTGAGAGCAGATGTTTGGAAAGGTTTCCATCATCATGTGAGCTCATTGCTAAAAGCTGTCTAGGTGTATCACCTATAAAAATGCTCATCTCTAAATACTATACAAATTCAGAAAAGGACTTTTCTAACCATTTAAGAAGTATTCTCAGGAAGGAATTCTAGCTGTGGCTGGTGTTGCTCAGTGGATTGAGCGCTGGTCTGTGAGCTGAAAGGTTGCTGGATTAATTCCCAATCAGGGCACATGCCTGGATTGCAGGCCAGGTCCTGGTTAGGGGTGTGTGAGAGGCAACTGGTTGATGTTTCTCTCTCTCTCTTTCTCCCTCCCCTTATATCTCTCTAAAAAGTAAATACAATATTTTAAAGAAGGAATTTTAGTAGGTTTTGAATCCATTTGTGAAAAATATAAAATTGCTGCATGTTCTGGATAATTGACATTAAGGACTGTGGAAATTTACCCACTGAATTTAAACAGCAATCTGAGCATGACTGGTTAATGAGATTGAAAAAGTGTACCATGATTTAATAAACTCAACCAGTGATCATTTTCTTTTCCTATGCACTATGGTACTGAATAATGGCTGCCCAGAGGTATGAGGTCCTAATCTCTGGAACCTGTGAATGTTACCTTATATTGAAAAAGGGTCTTTGCAGCTTTGCACAGTAATAGTATCATAGCCAGTGAGGTTTATCCAAGGCACAATTATTGCTAATTGAAAACTTTCCTAATACCCTGCCATGAGGACTTGAAAAAGGGTTTTTGCAGATATGACTAAATTGAGGATTTTGAGACAGTGAGATTATCCTGGATTATCTGGGTAGTCCCCAAATGCAATCACCTGTGTCTTTATGTGAGGGAGATCTGATGCAGACATGAGAGGAAAAAGTAGTGGTGATCAGAGAGGCAGAAAGATATTGCAGTGATGTGGTCACAAGCCAAGGGATGCCAGCAACCTGCGGAGGCTTGAACAGGTAAGGAACAGATTCCCCTCCAGTGCCTGTGGAGGGCTGGTGGCCCTGCCGACACCTTGATTTTGGCCCAGTGGTACTTCTGGCATTCAGAACTGTGACAGAATAAATTTTCTTTTATGCCAAAAGAAACTAGTATGTATTAAATAACTATTAAGACTATGATTCATTTATCAAAATCAAGGGTAAAATAAAGTGAAACTAGAACTGTACTTTTAAGTTGACTTTTCACAAAGTGTTGAGCCAGTAATTAAAAACATAGTGAGGTATAAAAATATAACATCTCTGTAATGAAAAATATTAATATATACTATATAAAATATATCTGTGTTATTGAGCTTAAGAGAATTTGACACTATTAATTAGTAGAATTACACTTAAAGTCTTTATATTTATTCCAACACTTAAAGTGCCTATTTTGTTAGTTTTATTAATGCATTGGTATAATGGTAAGTATGTATACTTTATAGATAGTTAACATATTGAGATGCATGATCAAAAGAATTTAAAGAAGTTTCTCTCTAAGGGATTATCGTGATGATGAAATGAGGTAAACGTGAAAATTCATGGGACATGGTAGTCATCCAATAACTACTTACCGAGTGAATGAATGAAAGTGCGGATGGATGATGGAGAAATGGAGAATCCTAGTTTAAGCTGTAGGCTTGGGAAGCATGGGTGTTGGTGGGGCTTAGCTGTGGGCCCAGGGGTACTTGGTTCCAGAACAGATGATCTTTTCACTTCGCCATCATCCTGGGCAGAAGCATGCTTGTTAGAAATATCCCCTTCACAATTTCCTGAAGAGTAGGTACCCTTTAGGAACCTGTGAATGTTACAAATGAGACTTGGCAGTGATCACGTAGGGCTGACATGTCCTCAGCATTGGGATGAGACGGAAGAGCCAGGGGGTGCCATGCAAGGGTTACCTGAGAAGACAGAAGGTTCCTGCCGTGGGTGTGACAGTGTTGGCCTGCGATGGTGGTGGTGGAGTTGGGAAGGGGATGTGGAGGCAGTTGTGCTGCACTGGGTGATGGGACTGCGATCAGCTTGCCCACAGGTCATCTGACAAGGCAGGGAGCTCTAGGCTTTTGCCTAAATGTGAGAGGCCATGAGGATCTGCCAAAGATAGAATCATAGAAGATTCATGAACATCAACTCCTCTTCCCCATGAGAAGTGTTGGAAGAAATAAAATTGTATGCCAGCCAATTTTTAGACAACCGAGGATCCAACACCCATGATTCTGAGGAACAGAGAGACATCTGGATGAATTAAATTTTAACAACCCTCCGGCCTAATTTTAGCCAATCACTTTACTTTTCTTTCTGACCAAAGGCAGAAGAGTGGCTTTTACAACTGTTTGCAATAAATTATCTAGATTTGGAAGTGCTGTCTCTTTCAGCTCATCTTTTGATAGCACTAATAAGGGCAGGAAAATAGCCAGTGGGGTGGTGGGTGCTGAAGGAGATAATGAGGATTTCTGAGCTGTTTTAATCCCTAGGCCACCAAACTGTACCTGTAAAAAGGGGAACACACCCTACTAGTCGAATCATAAGCCTAGTCAGCTAGTCTTTCAAACACAATCAATAAAGGCTAGTTCTTAAGAATGTACTTCTTGTGTACTGGTGGTAATGGAGGAGGGGGTCTCTGTGTTGTTCGCTGAATTGTGGCATTGGCCCCTTTGTTCACTAGTCCTGCTGCTCTAATAACCTTCAGTGGGGGGAATTCCAGCAGTAATCCTGGCTCACTACTGGTCCATTTTCCATACTGCCCCAGGCCACGCCACTCCCAGGCTTGAGACGTTCCAGCAGTCCTCTTTAGGTTCACAACCCTCACCTCGGTGGGCAGCACTTTCTTCTTCCCTTCCCTCATACCCTGTAGCCAGATCACATGCCAGTCTGTTTGTTTGCTGCAGAAGACTGTCTGGTCTCTGGGCCCTTCCTTGCACATGTTCCTCCCATGCTTTCACCCCCTGCACCCTCCTGTTTCATCCGGCTGATACCTTTGTATCCTCAGTTTAAATGTCACTTCCCAAGTAAGGCCTTTCTTGAACCCTGTTGACTGGTTTTGTTTCCCTTGGTCTGTGCACCCCTAGCATCCTAAACGGCCACTTTTGGGATAGTTATTCCACTTGTAATAATGTATTTAGTGTCTGTGGGCCCTATAAGACCATTGTCTCTGGCTGGCCACTGCACAGTGCTTAGGCACATGACGGATGCTCAGTACATATTTGCCAGGTAAGTGAATGGAGCTTTTCAAGAGAGGTGGTACTGTGTTATTCTCTACCCCCACAGTTAGCGTAGTATCTGACATCCAGTAAATACTGGTTGAACTGAGCTCGACAGAGAGGCAGTGGGCCAAGGTTGTTAGGTGTGGTGACCTGGATGCAGGGTATTAACACCTCATTCCCTTCACCCCCAGCCCAGTGAGGCCGGTGTCTGAGAACCAGTGGAGGCTAACTGGGCAAGGGTATTAGTGGAGGTGGTGGGATAGATCATACATCTTTGTATGGCTCTTTGAAAAGAAAAAGGACAAATATGTAGATTCATTAATGACATATTTCTATAAATAATCAATTTAGTACATTTCATTGCCATATTTTAAAAATGCAGATGAGAAACAAAAATGCGAGAGAGGCAGTTATCATAGCAACCTCTTCATTGTTTGCTGCAGCCTTAGGCTTCTTAAAGATTCCCATATGAGTTGTGGTTATGGTTTTCAAGTGTATGTCTCATTTTTGACCTGGGAATGAGATGAATAATTTTTAGGAGATGAAGATAAATACTCATCTGACTAGTAAGTACAGAAATGGGTCTGAGGGCTTTAGGTATCAGCTCCACCATCTGAAATGTAAATATCTCCTGAAATTCCCATTTAAGAGCAGATTTCACCTGCAAGTAGACTGTTATCTCTTCCTGAAAAATATATACACCCTAGTGAGGGAATAAACACATCATTACACTTTCATGACAGATAAGCTTGGCTCTGTTGGGGTGTAAACTCATTTTTCTTGGGTTGACCTTTAAATAGTATTGTGCTATTGTATGGGATTTAAATCAATAATTTTGTCAAAGCAAAATATACTGCAGTTTTTTCTTTATCATTTAAACAGTTCTGTAAACTCTCAAGGAGTAATGGATTTAAACATGTTGTCCCCAGAAGGGGACAGGGAGGAGGGGGCTGTGGTGGGGGTGGGAAGCCACATACGAAAACGGACTTAGCGGCCGTGAGGCAGGAGCCTAGGATGGCTGCGGATCTGAGAGAGTCCGTTTTCTCTTGCTGGCAGCTGAGATGCAGGTGCCAGTGTGGGCTGTAATTAGTGGTGTAATACCTTTTCTGCATTCCTGTTGTAAAGCAACAAAGTGTCCCAGGTGTGAGGAGGTTAAAATGAGAAGTACCCAGTAGTTATGAAGCAGCAATAATGAGTTTCCTTCTACTTACCATGGATTTGTGTGATATACAGCTTGCAATTAAGCATGGCTTGGTGATTCAGTGATTAATGTATATACAGCTCCTAAAGGAGGGAAGCCACCCTCCCGTCACATCCTTCATGATGTTTACAGCTGGGTACCTATTAACAGGAAGATGGAAAGGGCCATTTACAATTCAGTAACCTTTATGACAGTGAACTCTTTAATCAGCATTTTATTTCCTTTGTAACACTTTAGTCATCTACAAATGTCAGAATAAAATAGGGCCATGAAATATTTAGGATCGGCATGTGGAAATTGACTTCCCTTGATTTAAGCTGCTGTGTCTTTTCATTTTGTTGTTTTGGGAGCTTTTACTTTTATTGAAAGACAATTTATAACTAAATGCTCCCAACAGTGACTGGCATTAGGGCAGGAGGAATTTCAGAGAGCCAAGTTCTGGTTCTATAAAATGTGTTGATGCTTGCTATGTTGGGTAATAAGTTATTCAAATAAAGACATTAGCAAAGGGTTTACATTTCAGAGCAGTATTTAGTATAGGTGCAGCAGACTTTGCAGAGTTTATGACAAAATACCCCGGCATATTTTAGAAAGGTAATTAAGTATGAAGTACATCCATAATAATTTAAGTCAGTTATAGTGGGTACCTGAAATATGCATTATTGTTGCACATTATTTTCTTAGTGGGATTCTGGGACTTTTTCAATTCAACAATAACCACCTTTACGCTTTCTCACATTGTTGTAAATGTATATAATGTATATTAGCAGAATTGCCATGTTTACATTAAAAAAAACTTTAAACAATGATATGCTAAATGATTGCATTATTATTTCGTACTCATATCTGTTGTTAAGTTAACCCATTTTAAGACAGCGAACTCAAACGTATCTCAAATGTTGTATTTTAAAAATTAGTTTTGGACAGCAGCGTGCTTTAAGAATTTGGCATGGTGCAGTGGTGTCCCCCCCCCTCCCCCACAAAGGTCCCTGGCGACCATCTGCTGACTTTGGGCTGCGCCTCAGTTTAGGGAGCTAGTTCTTTTTCAGGGGTAGAGGGTGTCTTGGTGTCACATGGGCCACATAGGACCACCTTTCCCACTTTTAAAGAAAATAATGTGTAGGTGTTGCCTTTTCCTTTCTGCCGTGTGGAAACCAGCTGTTGGCACCAGCATGGTGCAGTGGACAGACCAGCAGCCTGAGCACCAGCTTGAGCCCCAACAGGAGCTCAGTGTCATGGACAAGTTCCTCACCTTTCTGGGCTTCACTCTTCCCATCTGTAAACTGTGAACTGGTTTACTGGACTAGGTGTGCCTCCAAAGGAGCCGTGAGAGAGGAGAGAGAAAGGGGAATACAAGGAGAATAAATTAATTAGGGCCTTAAATTCAAA